TGAATACAATGATTAAAAACAGGATGAAGAAAATTAAGTGTATTAGCAAAGAAATGAAGACTCATGAAATGTAAGCTGATTAAGGAAAGAATTGAAGACAGGAAGAATGCCCAGGACATTGTGAAAGGTTACGAAAGGGATATTACTCATTCATTTGGTGTACCCATTCACTTCAACAATTAAGCCCCTACTAGGTGCCAAACCTAGTTCTAGACCCTGTGGATCTATTCATGAGCAAGACTGACCCCATCCTCTCACAGAAGTAGGGTGAGATGGACAAAGAATTAGACCAAGTATTTTCTTTTAACTTTTTTTCTAAATGGTTGATCCACAATGTTAGTTTCAAGCATACAACATAGTGATTCGACATGTTTATACACTATGCTGGGCTTACAAGTATAGCTACTGTGTGTCCCCATATTACGGTATCATTGACTATATTCCTTATGATGGATGAGCCTTTTATTCCCATTTATTCCATAACTACAAGCCTGTTATCTCCCATGTCCCTTCCCCTACTTTGCCCAACCACACATCCCCTCCCCTCTGGCAACCATCAGTTTTAAAATCAGTAAGTATTAAAGTCAGATTTTGCTGATGGCTATGAAGAAATACAGAGTAGAGAGAAAGAGAGCATTAAGTAGAAGGAGAGAGCAGTGGCGATTTAGATAAGGTGTTCCAGGAAGGGAATCCTCTTTAGTGAAATTGAAGAAAGACCTAGATGAAACGAGCAAATAAACCTGTGAATAACTGTGGGAGTAGTGTGCTTTGCTGAAGAAATATTGAGTGCTTTACCATTTTTTAATGTCATCAGTAGTTGAATAGTAAGGCCAACAAAGCTGTGATAAAGTAGTTTTTCCATCCCTATTATATTTTTAAATGGTGTTTTCAGAATACCAAAGTGACACAGCTGGTTTAAGCAATTATTTGTTGCACAAATGTCATTAAAGTGAGCAATCAATTCAGTTAAGTCTCATTTAAGCAGATGAAATGTTTAGATATAAATATACCCTGTAATCAGGTCTGCTGTGTTTATCATTACCTTCTCCAATGACTAGTGTTGGAATGTCACACATGATAGGGTTCAGTTAATATTTGTTGAGTGAACTTTTATGCCCACATACACTTTAATACTTAAAAACACAAATCATTCCCCCATCAAACCTTTTCAAAGATGTTCTAAGGGAGAAGTTCAGACAAACCCATGGTCTCTTTCTTTGCCCTGGGAGTGTGAGGGTTTAAATGACTTTAAAAAAAATAGATATTATTCACATCCCATAAGATAAACCTGTTTAAAATATACAATTTTTTGGTTTTTAGAATGTTCACAAAGTGTGCAACCATTACCTAACTCCAGAACATTTTTATCACCCTAAAAAGAAACCTGTCATAGACTGGACCCATTAGGAATCCCTCCCCTCCTTCTAGCCCCTAGCAACCACTAATCTACACTCTGTCCCTATTTGCCTTATTCCAGACATTTTATATGTGGAATCACACAATATATGTCCTCTTATGTTTGGCTTTTTTTACTTAGCTTTCAAAGCTTTCAGACTTTATCTATGGTATCCATACTTGAGTCTTCTATAGCTAAGTAATATTCCATTGTGTGGTTATACAATATTTTCTTTATCCATTCATCCTTTGATAGACATTTGGGTTGTTTCCATTTTTGGCTATTATGAATAGTGCTGCTATGAGTATTTATAAGTTTTTGTGGACCTTTGTTTTTAATTCTCTTGGGTCTATACCTACCAGTGTAAATGGCTTTTTTTTTTTTAATTTATTTATGATAGTCACACACACACACACACACACACACAGAGGCGCAGAGACACAGGCAGAGGGAGAAGCAGGCTCCATGCACCGGGAGCCCGACGTGGGATTCGATCCCGGGTGTCCAGGATCGCGTCCTGGGCCAAAGGCAGGCGCCAAACCGCTGCGCCACCCAGGGATCCCCGTAAATGGCTTTTTAAAGGCATTGCTGTAAACAAGTTTTATTTTAAAAATGTTTCTCACTTATTTCCAGTTACTTATTTAAGCCTTTAACAGAACTTATTAATTTTTCTCCAGAAATCTGAGTTACATTAGCCCTACAGGAAATGTTCCCTGTATGGCTCTGGTGCCCCCGGGCTCACTGCCCACTGCATGAGTGGATGCCAGACTTCAGCAGTCTTGTGGGGCATTGGGAATGCAACTCTGAACAGGTGGTGGTTCACCTTTTTGTCAACCAATATTGCTTCTCCTTGAAAGAATCATAAAATCTTGAAATTTAAGACCTAGGAACGTTTCTTGGAGCTCATCTAATCCACTGCCTTTGTTTTATAAATCTTAAAGCCAAGGGACATCCAAAAGGTTAAAATATTTACCTGAGTTCTTATAGCTGGTTGTGAGAGAGCCAAGATGAGAAGTCAGATCTCTTGACTGCCACTTCAATGCTCCTGACTACTAAATTTTACTTTGTTGTCTGAATTGAAAGTCATAAAATGAAAAATAAACATAATTCATCTAAGTGGTATTTTCAAAGTATTTATTTATGAATTAATTAATGAGTGAGACACACCGAGGCAGAGGGAGAAGCAGGCTCCCTGCGTGGATCCTGTTGCAGAATTCGATCCCAGGACCCCAGGACCATGACCTGGGCCAAAGGTAGACGCTCAACCACTGAGCTACCCAGATGTCCTTAAGTGGCATTTTCAAATCAAAGTTTACAGAAAATGTTTTCACAGTTTTGTAGGGAAAACTTAGCTATCAGCTTTGTACTTGTTAATTCACAGGGACAGGGTGGGGGAGATAAGAGTAATAAAGAAACACTCCTTTTAGCCTATGCTTAAGGAAGAAGGAATTGCAGGCATTTGTAAACACTCAGACAATCATAAACAAAGGTCAGTAATTCCTATTAGCTTTCCTTAAGAGTCAGCCTTTTTCTTCTCATCACATTCTACCTTTTACATACCAGTCGTTTTAAAAGGGGGTATAAAGATTAAACATAATTATATTATCCAAATGTAATCAAATTATGCAATAGATTATGCAGTTAATCACTTGGATCTCCTAAATGTCATGCTGGATATAGTTTATCCCTCTCACAGTGAGTCAGAAGTGGGAATGGGTTCATTCACTATTTCCAGTAAGCAGCTTACCGCCAGCAGGTGTTGTGACTTGTGGGAAAGGGTAGGACTGGAATGCATGCTTATTTGGAGAGCTCAGAAATGTACCCTTGGGTCCTTGCATAGAGCTGTACGTGAGGTCACAGGCAGCTGAGAGTGTTGGCAGTACCACAGCTACCCCCAGCTTAGAGGAGGCTCTTGATCCCCTCTGAGTCTGGGAATATTGCTCCCTAGCACAAAGCTGGGAACAGGTGCCACATATAGCCCTATGGTCCAGGCACGGGTCTCAGCTCTGCCACTCTCTGTGTGATCTTGGGCACATCACCTCAGATGTCCTTGAGTGCCCCATCTGTAAAATTAGAAGGTGGCAGGGCAGACTAGCTGATTTTTAACTCTTTTGGCTTTAAAATGTTATGGTTCTACAACTTAGTGATTTAAGATGTCAAGTATATTGGATATTGGAGATATCATATAAAGGTGGTAAGAGTTCATAAGGTAATACAGGGCCATCGTGGAATCCCATGTGACACTGGGCAAGTTACTTCTCTAAGATTTTGTTAGCCGTAAAAGTAGAGTGATTATAATAGTACCTAACCCTAATGACAAAAATGGTATTAATGCAAAGACCAGTGCCTCATAAATCCTAAGATTCAGTATTATTTAGTAGTAAGTAGTAGAAGTATTTTCTTTAGGGACATTTTTTCCTAATAATACTGTTCCTTCAGAAATAAGTAAAATTTCAGTAAATTTTAGTAATACTGTGAAGTATTTGACTAAAATACTATTTAAAACATTATAATTAATTAACCCTGAAGTAAACTGGGGGGAAAATTCATGATTTAGATAATGGAGTGGTGGATGGTAGGTATGATGAGGGAAGAAATGTGATACAGAGGTCAAGGTTATAGAGCAAGTGAAAGAAATTGAATTTATTTTCTCCTTAGTTTTATTGTTGTCTGTAATCTTCCTTCTATATATTTATCTCTCTTAATTTGGAGATGAGATCATTTGTGGAGAATTTATCCAAATTAGTGGCTATTGAGAAGTGAGTCCTACAGTATTTTTTGTTTAAATGAGATTATTGTTGTTTTATTTATCATGTAGAAATAAATAGTAAATCAAATTCCATGTGAGCTGCCTTCTTGTAACTTCTGCTAGTTTTGCAAATACTATTTTGGTGTGAATCAAGGGCTTAGAAGCTTAGTAATTTTGGAAACAAATACTCAGACATTTTTCCTCAGGATGTTGGTACGAAACTATCACTATTGAATAGTAGTTTGCTAAACTATTTGAAGGAATTCATTTAAGAAAAAGTATTTACAAAATCAGAACCTGTTTGTAAAATATGGTAGGGAAAGGAAACTCTAAGTTTGGTGGTTGATATCTTAGAGAATTAACTACCTAATTTTCCAAAGAAGAGGACAGCTGTCTATGAATGTATAAGTGACATGATAGAGTAGATGAGATTCTCTCTTTTTTTTTAAAGATTTTATTTATTTATTCATGAGAGAGGCAGAGACATAGGCAGAGGGAGAAGCAGGCTCCCTGCAGGGAGCCCAATGTGGGACTCGATCCCAGGACCCTGGAATCGTGACCTAAGCCAATTAAGCCACCCAGGTGCTCCTACAGATGAGATTCTTAATGGTCATCTCTGAATATATATGTTCTGTGTGTCCCACACCTACTCCATCACCATCTATTTCACTATTGTAGGTAAATAACAGGAAAGGAAACATTTTGATTCCTCGTGACAATGTCAGTGGCTTCTGATATAAACAGTTCAATCCAGAAATGCCTAGTCTCATAAAAATTGCTTTTCACTACATTGTAATTTCCACTCAGGGTAATGTTTTTTTGGTTTCTAATGTATCTTTTATACTTCTTTTATAGGAGGCCAGTTGTAAGAACCCCTTACCTAATATCCTTCTAACAAAAGACTTAGAAAGAGACATGCAAAAACCATCTCTAAAAACCAGGGTAAGTTATGTCTGCTCCTTTGGGTTACCATAAGAAACATTTAGCAGGGCTTTTGATGTTCTTATGTTTCCATGCTCTGTTTCTTGCATTTCTCTCAGACTTTTTCTTTGGTTTTATTTTTGGACCTGATTGCATAAAAAGCATTTTTTATTTAATATATTGAATCCAAGGTGATACTCATCCCCAGATTTTCAAGACACTCCTATAGTTTGACCGTGATATTTTTTTCGTGATATTTTTTAGTACATGGCTTTGCTTCTATTAAATCAGAATTATTTGCAGTCTACTTCATTAGGAAGTAGTTGAATGTAGCAGATCTTTGTTTTGAGGGATAAAATACAATGTCCAACTGTAATTTCTGTTTTTCAAAATAGAAATCACTTTATTGACTTTTCATAAGTCATATGTAAAAATAACATATGATCAGTTAAGTAAATTTTAACTAGGATGAAATAAGATCATACATATGACAGAATAAGAGTCTAATGTGTAAAATTTTATTTTCCTTATTAGGAAAAATACAAATACAAATAATTGTTTTGCCAATGAAAAGAAAGACCCCTTTAACCCAAAATATGTTATGGAAATTTCTTTGATCATTTATTTGTCCAACCAGAAAAATGATTGCATTAATTTTAGAGTTCCTTTCCTAATCTTTAATCTTTTAAGTAGAACTTCTCCTATTTACTTGGTTACATAAAATATTCCTAAGTGGCCACCAGGACATTTATAGAGCTATTGTGTTTCCCCATTCTGAGAAAAATATGTTCAAGTTTTCTTGAGTTCATTTTAAGCAAAATGTAAAAGATCTAATCTCTAATTTTAATCACAAGTTACTGTAAAAATAATTGTGTAAAGGCAAATTAAGTGAAGCATTGAGTCATTACTTAGTGTCTTGATTATAGTAACTACCTTTATGTGAAGAGACCCTAGATAATGCACTTCTTAAATAAAGATAATCTCAAAACCTGACATAAAAGTTGTTTGAAGGGATTGTATTACTCTTAGGAAATTAATCCCTTTTGGAATTTTTCAGATATATACAGAATCAATAATGTGCATTTATTGTTCCTTAACCAGTCTCACTGTATGCTTCACAAACAGACTAAACCAATAGAGAAATTACTTCACTAGTTAAGCTTTGGTTTTTAATTTAAGTTTCTCTGTGGCCTGACATGAGCAAGTTTACATTTATATGAGGACAGTAAGCTCTGCTTAGTTTATAGGTGATTAAAATCCTTGTAATTTCAAATCCCAGATATGAAACAGAGCATGTGAGCTATAAGAGATTATGAGGTACTAACTTTTTCACTAGGATTTTATCTTATTTGTTGCTCCAGTTGATCTTTGAAAGCTAAAGCTGAGAACACCTTTAAACTATGGTTGGTGTGTCCTTTCTAGAGTGACTTGGTGAGCTATGAGAATAAGGTGCATCCACTTGGCTTCCTTAGCTATCTTTTTCAGATATCTCTGGTTACAGCTGTATTTGCCTTGGACAGCTAAGTATTTTTGATCCCTATGTGGCCAGAGATATAAAATGGTAATCCAGAAATGGCATATATCCATTGACTCTAGAGATGTCTCTCTAGACTAAACCATCTGTCCCGACTTGTGTTCCCCCTGCCAGTTGCTGTCACTGTGCTTAGGCAATAGGAAGGATTATATTTCTCTTCCTTAGGTAGGAAAGCCACTTCTTGATTTGAGTCCAAGTTGAAAAAAAAAGGGATACCTCTATTTCACAGTGCCATGACACTTCCTGGATGAGCAAGGATCACCAGCCCTGGTAGCTTAAGGACACGCTCATATAACCATTTCGTACCACATACCAATACCATGTAGAGTACATATGCAAACAAATCATTGGAAGAGATTATAAAGAAAAGAATATCAAAAAGAGGTATAGAACATAGAAAGGCACAGCTCCTTGTAACCTGATATACTTCAGACTACAGCAGACAGTCTTTTTTCTACAGTACACAGGTGATATGGCTCTAAATAAGCCTCACAACCCATATTCATTGGTCATACTATAAACCCTGAATAGGATCTAGTAAACTGAAGGTAGAAAATTATTTTCCTTCTCTCTTCCCTTGGAGTACACTCTGGACTTCCCAGTATAGTTGCTGTGTTTTTGACCTCAGCAAAAAATTCAAGGTCAGGTCACTGTATGAGAATTAATATCCAATTCATCCAGCATTAGGATGAAAGTATAAAAGAAAAGATTATATGTTTCCTTCCTGACTTTTATCAGTGGATAAAACTGTATTGATAAAAATTTAAATTACAAGCGCATAATAGTTTTAGTCATTGGATTCTCTTACTACTTTTATAGAGATTTCCTTTAGTATACGAAGTCATATTAACTATAAAATGTGTGATAAGGATAATACAGTTATCAAAAATACTATTACAAATAATATATCAAATATATTATTACAAAATAGAGGCAACCATTAAATTATTTTTCTTTCAGAGGCTAATGGTTTCATGGATCATGAATTATTTATGGAGATTTTCCTCAATAATGAGAATAGTCATCCCTGTTCTATTTTCTTAAATGTTTGTTAAAATGCCTATGCTTATTAGCAAAATAAACTAGAAATTTTAAATAATTAGGGTTTTGAGAAATTTAGTGGCAGTATTATTTCCAATAAGCAAATTAATAGAGTAACCTAATAAGCATTAAATTTTACCAAGCTTTTAGGTTATTTTTAGGTTATTTTTAAAATATTGTTAGTGGGAGCAGCCCAGGTGGCTCAGCAGTTTAGCACCACCTTCAGCCCAGGGCGTGATCCTGGAGACCCAAGATCGAGTCCCACATCGAGTCCCACATCGGACTCCCTGCATGGAGCCGGCTTCTCCAGGGCTCCATGTGTCTTTGCCCCTCTCTCTCTCTCTCTGTGTGTCTCTCATGAATAAATAAATAAAATCTTAAAAAAATATATTGTTAGTGGACATGCATATATTTTACATTGCTTTAATTAATGTGTACATTCTAATTAGTGTTCTCTTTTTTCCAGTTAACATTATTTCTGCTATACATTTCCATGTATCAAGCTAGTTTGCCTCTTTAATTTTTTAATAAAAGTAATAGTAGTAGAAGTAATAGTGATGATGCTTATGGCTACCATTGATCAAGTGCCAGACACTATATTACTTAATGTAGATCTTTTTTTTTCTGTTCAATATACTCTATCAATATTCACTTTCAGTAAGAATCTATGACAGTTTTTTTAGGTATCATTCCAGGTGTTTCCATTGTTTTAGGCTATCTTCAATATTTATATCATTTCCAATATTTTGCCATTACAAACATTTTTAAGTGAATAATTTTCACATGATGCCTTTTAGACATACGTGGGAAGTAGGGTCATAAGAATGTACATCTTTAACTTGTCCTGACATTGCACATACTTTAAGATGTACCAATTTACATGTTCAACAGCTGCAGAAGATTGTTTCCATTTTTCAGTGTCACCAACCTTTTGTAATATCAGTATTGTTGTTTCCCCAATCTAATGAGTATGAGATGCATCTTGTTATTGCCTTACTTTGGATTTCTCTAACTTCCAGTTGTGGCAGGGACATTTATTATTCACTGAATACTCAGGTGTTTCTCCAATGTTTCCCAGCCCCATTGCAGTTAGCTGGGGCCAGCCAACTGCTTCTGGCCAAGAGACTGTGAGCAGAAGTGCTAAGTGTGTCTTTAAGGGCAGAGAATGCAAAAGTTGTGCATAATTCTCAAGCGCTTTTTTACAGTACAGCAATTAGACAATGGAGCATGGGTCCTTTAGTGGCATTGGTGGAACAGAGCCCCCTGTCAAATGGCGCTGGATTTGTGTAATGACTGAAAAATAAACCTGTTTTATTAAGCTTCTGAGATTTCTGGGCTAATTTGTACCTTCATTATAATGTAGTCTATCCTGATTCATTATGGGGGCAGCTTGTCATGTGTTCATTAAGCTTTGGTAATATCTGTGATCATTAATCTATGTACTACTTTCTCCTGTTGTTGCCGGTTTTATTATTAGGTTATTTATTTTTTCTGAGTAATTTGTATGAGTTTGTTAGCTGTTGTCAATTATATGTGTCTTAAATACTTTCTCCCAATTTTTTAGTTTTCTATTTATATTGAATATAGTGCCTTTTAATATATGAGTTTTTTATTCTAATATAACCAAATCCATTAGTCTTTAGTTCTTGTGTTTTTTATATCTTGTCTGAGAAATCCTCACAAACCTTGAAGTCATTAAGAAAGTCTTTTTTTATTGTTTTCCAAAGGTTTTAAATTTTGCTTTGCATATATGTCTTAATCCATCTGAAGTTGAATTCTGTGGAAAGCATGAAGTAGGAATCTAATTTTACATATAAAACTCAACCAACTTAGTATATTTATTCAATAGTTCATCTTTTCCCCACTTTCTGAAATGTCCTTTCTATTATATGTCAAATGTTTTATATGTGTTATTGGTTGCTCTATTTGTTTATCTCATGTCATTACTGCAATGTTCTAATTAGTGATATCTAGTAGGACGACTTTCTTCAATTTTGTTTCCCTTCTTGAAAATTATTTTTGATTCATTGCTTTTGCAGTTGAATATTATCAAGTTTCATGAGAAATTTTAGTTAGAATTTAAACTGCAAACTGATCCATTACATGAGAATTGGTATTCCATTCATGGCCATCATAGAACTCTCCACTTGCTCACAACCTCTTTAAGACTGTCTTTTGATTTTTTTTAAAAAATGTAATTTTCTTCTTCAATATTCTAGGTGCCCACATTTTGTAGGTATGTAAGTGAAATGCTTATGATATATCTTCAAGCTTTGTTGTTGATATTTAATGTTATAACTAATTTTTATTGTTGACTTTTATATCTACAAGCCTTGCCAAATTCTCTTTAGTTCTAATATTTTGTTGATCACTTCTCTTTGATTTTCTTTGTAGACAGTCATATCATCTGGAAATAATAAGCCTGTTTACTTTTTTTCATTCCTTT